TCTTAAAGAACCTAAAAGCTGGGACCAGTAAAATCCACAGAAATTCACTCTTGCCTTGAAGAACTTTTGAAAACGATTAAAAAAAAAAACAAAAAAAAAAAAAAAACCCCAGCAACAACAAAAACAGGGCAGGAACCTAAAATCCACAGAAATTCACTCTTGCCTTGAAGAACTTTTGAAAACGATTAAAAAAAAAAACAAAAAAAAACAAAAACAAAAAAAAACCCCAGCAACAACAAAAACAGGGCAGGAACCTAAATTCTGAGACCAAATGTAAAAGTCAGATTTGGTGGTTCTCAGTGACAATGGGGTAATTTCCAAGGGGTGGGATGGGGTGGAGTGGGGTGGTCAGAGATGGATTCTCTTGTTGGCTTTTTAGTCTCACTGATTTTCATCTTCCACATCCTGCAGCGCTTCTTTATTCTGCTCCTCACCTGTAAAAAATAAACTACCATTAGTCCCCTCATATTAGGTTAGTCTACTGTGGTCACAAGATATCATCTCAGGCAAGATGATGCTTTATATTTGCTACAACCTGTACTAAACACACAAAAGCTAATGACCTCTACACCATCCTCTACACCTACACTTCAGCCAAGAAGAGCTGCCGGATCAAGGCCCTTAAAGTGCAGCCAACAGTCAGACTGAAAAACCTGATGCACAACGTCAGTGGTTTTAGGCTGTGTAGCTCTTCAAAATGAACAGCCATGGTAACCATATGGTTAAAATGATTTTCAAGCACTCATGTAAATCTGAGGTCAAAATACTTTCTTCTCAATAACCTCACTTGTTCATTCAAACAAGAGTATCTTACTGTGTTTTACACTAATTGTATCCACAAGCTCAATCTCAGAAAGAAGTGGAATGAGCAGCAGTGTTTCAGAGGACGACCCGCTGTGTAAGTGCACGGTCTGCACTGTGTGCCTTGGCCAGTCACACTGACACAACCAAAGTTCCCACGTTCCTGCTTCAGAGTGAAGCAGTGCACTCGAAAGTAGCAGACCCCGGAGGTTATTAAGAAAAGCATTTGGCCATGTTCTCTCAAGCCATTTCCCCCTCTCAACATGATTAGCCTGGAGGGAGGGTTTCAATTGCCCTATAACATGCAATAGAAAGACACCCTATTCACTAGTGGATCATTTATCTATTAATAAGCATTTAAAAAGTCAGCCATAATAAAGAAGCATGCAGTCTTCTGTTTTAAAAATAAGATGTAACAGATAAAAGCTACATTTTTTTGTGCTTTAATAAACTTATCATTTCTACAAAGATACCAATCAGAGTCAAAATAAACAAAAGGTCAATTAATTCTAAAATCATATGAGACCACCCAGACTAGCTATCCATATTTCTTTGCTTAATCAATTAGGATGGACAGATTAAGATTGTCCATCATAAGACTAAGTGATTAAGATTGGCTAAGGCTGACTAAGATTGATTAAGACTAACATTGGCTGCCTGTAGGTATAAAAGTATTCATATTGAGAAAAACTTTTAGACAGTCTTTTAAGATCTCCATATGATAAACAATAAATGTTGTCATAGCAACAAGGGGTAAAGAAAGCCAGTCTTAACAAATCTGAATTTTCTTTTGTAATACAAAAAATTAAGACTGGGTACACAAGGATTGACTTATTTTAAGACTTGAAAGAAAGACAAAAATGTCTACTCAGAACAGTAGAGGACTCCAAAAACATGATAGAACTTTCGCACTTAATAGAAGGGGGAAAAAAGGTGAAATAAAGTTAATAACAAATCATACTAGAACTCCTCATAAACAACCATTCGATTTGCCAAAGCCCCAAGTAACCTTTGCATAAAATTATCATAATAAAACCTATCCAACCAGAGGTTGGCAGTTAAGTCATCATTGTCATAAATGGTTTATTATTAGCACCCTACAATAGAGAACAAGCCATCTTTATCAGCGACGGGAGATTAGTGCAGAACAGAAGCGTAATTAAAGCAGAATCCCTGTGCCAGGATAAAGACTTACAAAAGAGTTTTTAGGAAAGGAAGAGTTGGATTTTCCTTTAGGAATCTATATTGCAAGGAAAAAGGGAGGGAGAACAATCACATGAAAGCAACATTACAAGAAAATTGAAAACCAGAGCAGGGCAAAGGGGTCTTGAGGGAGGAGAAGGGTCAATGAGGTGGAAAATAACTGTGTGCTCGTTATGTCGGTTTCACTCTTAGGAAACATCTGTCCAGGCCTCCCTTATAAGCAATGGAATGATGTCCTCTTGAGGAAACACAAGGTCTCCTAGGCTGTGTATTTGTCTGTTACTGCTAGACTGCGTGGAGAGAGGACGTCAGGGGGCACAGTACACATGTTCTCTCTGTTGTGTTCCAATACCAAGGGCAGAATAACAAGTTTTTAAACATGCCATTAAAAAGTACAAAACCCCCAAAATAATGCACACACACCCTGGCCACACACAAAACCAGTATCAAAAAAGGGCAACGAATCACATATGTTTCTTGCTAAATGACATTTAAAAAATAATAAATCATTTTATTGGGGGCTCTTACAAGTTCTTATAACCACCCATACACATCAATTGTATCAAGCACATTTGTACATATGTTGCCATCATCCTTTTCACAGCATTTTCTTTGTACTTGAGCCCTCGATTATCAGCTCCTCTTTTTTCCCCTCCCCTACCCTTGTGAAGCCTCGATAATTTATAAATTATTTTTATTTTCATATTTACACCTTCCGCTGTCTCCCTTCACCCACATCTCTCTCGTTTGTTCCCCTGGAGTAGGCTTTACATCGATCACTGCCCCCTTTCTCCCCCCCAACCTTCCCTTCTCTCATGGTTTCACTATTGGTCCTGAGGGGTTTATCTGTCCTGGATTCTGTAGTGTTGAGAGCTCTTATCTGTACCAGTGTACATGCTCTAGCTCTAGTCTAGCCACATTTATAAGCTAGAAATAGGGTCATGATAGGGGGCCGGGGGTCATAGCATTAAAGCAGCAGAGGAATGTTGTTTTGTCTGGCTATATCGCACTCTGGATGGCTTGTCCCTTACTTGTGACCCTCTGTGAGGCTAATGACTACATTTTCCATAGCAACCAAATTGCAAAAAAAAAATTCGCCTAACCAGTCCTTAAATTAAAGTCAATTCCAAAAGAAAAAAATTCTCCCTATATCCAGCTTTAGTTCTGGCACAAAATCAATTTAATAAAGGAATTTCAAAAAGGTTGTGAAAAATGGCTTATCCTTTAATTCCATTTTTCTGCAATCTTTGGGAAGCCCTTTCATTTCATACTGTCTTTTTAAGCAACATAGGCAAATAATTTCTTAGCAACTACCTACAAGTTTTTGGTTCAGGAATTTTTCCATTATTTTACTAAAATGTCTATAATATTGCTGATCCTGATGTGGTCACATACCTAAATATTTCATAGAGCAAATGTGCGACAGAAGCAGAGATGCCTACTCCTCACTCTATTATCTAACCCAAGTCATAATTCTGATTCTGATCTTCTGGAATAAAAAAATAAGACAATACACATGTTCCCACATTCACTTCCAGAGGCATCTTAAAAACGGATGTTATTTCCAAAGACAGCATATATCATATTGGTGACCAGAGACTGCCAATAAGCTTTAAGCAATGTAGTGTGTATGCTTCGGTTTGAGTAAAACAGCAGTTACAATAAGAAATGTGTGCTGTCCAGTCCCATCACACACCTGCGCAATAATCTATCCTAAATGGACAGAGTGAAATCTCCTTTAAAATGAAGAGATGTGACAAATTTGGGGCTTTACATTTACAGTAAATAACAATAATAAATGTTATGTATTACCCGGGCAACTGTTAACCACCGAAGAGCCTACAAAAATACAAGAATCTCTTACATAAGGCAGCCAGGACTGGACATTCCACGGGGACTACAAAAGCCCAAAGGAAGCCAGTTCATTTTCAGTTATTAGATTTCCATGGAAATGATGATTCATAACTAACTCCTGGCACTATCTAGTTTTAACAGGATACTTATTCATTCACTCAATACAGTAACCATGGAATTCAGAGCACACACAGTTAACTCTGAAATGGAATCTGAAGATGAAATGAGTTGCTGCTTTCTTGCCCCTGGCCTTCAAAGCACACAGTAAAGCTGTAAATCAGTTCCACAACAACAAAAGAAACAGAGTTAGATGGTTTTTCAACCTCAAAACGTAACCAAAAAACTCTGTCTGTCCCACCCCCAACAGATGCTATATATTTACCATCTTACAGCCGAAAATGGAAGGTTGGACTTGGCTTAATTTCCTACAACGGTATTTAGAATATGATAATCTAGAGCCCAAATTATAGATTGATGCAAAGTACCACCAAGGAATTTCGAAAAGAATAAAAAGGCCCAAATAAAAAAACCTAGAGTTACAATTGCTGTGTTGTTAGGTGCAACTGAGTCAGTTCTGACTTTGAGAGACCCTGTGAACAACAGAACAAAGCACTGCTCGGTCGCCCCCCCTTCACCCTCCCAATTGTTAAGTCTGACCCCGTTGTTGCAGCCACTGCGCCAGTCTTCCTTTTTTTCACTAACTTGCTACTTTAAGCAAGAGATGAAATGGCACAGTGGCAACACATGTGAGGACAGAGCAGGACAGAGGAGAGGGTCTCATTGTTTTCCCTGGGGTCAGGTATGCATTGGAATCGACTCCGTGTCATATGAGGGCAGCAACATGCACTAGGAGGAGCCATGGTGGCACACTGGTTCAACCACTCAGCTACAAACCACAAAGTTGGCAGTGTGAACCCACCAGGTGCTAATAAGGAGAAAGGTGTGGCAGTCTGTTTCCAAAAGGATCTATACCCTGGGAAACCTTAAACGGGAAAGTTCTACGCTGTCTTATAGGGCTATTATGAGGTAGAATCAACTCCACAGCAGTTTTTTGCACTTACAGTTATCGTATCTTATTTACCCAGTCATGTTTTAGGCTGGTCCCACCTTTTGGCTATTGTGAAGTGTACCAATTCTTTGGGTATATAACCATAAGTAGGATTGCTAGATCATATGGTTTAACTATGTTTTTAACTTTTTGAGAAACCAACAAACTATACTTTCTATAGTACAGAGGCTATACTGTTTTACATCCCGGCCAGCCAGCCATAAAGGTTCACCAACACCTGTTGTTTTCTGGTGTTGTAGCTGTTGCTTTTAAAATCATGGCCATCTAGGAGAGTGTGATTGATACCTCAACGCCGCTTGGACTTGCATTTCCTCAATGAATAAAGATATTAAACATCTTTTAAAAAGAATAAAAAAGGCCAAAAATTGCGAAAGGAAGCGTGTTGCTGCAGAATGTGTGCTTGCTTACCGTCACCCTGCATGTCTGAAGTCCATAGTGTCAGATTATCACGTAACAATTGCATGATAAGTGTGGAGTCCTTATAGCTTTCTTCACTCAGAGTATCCAGTTCTGCAATTGCATCATCAAAAGCTGCTTTCGCCAACCTGTTTTTAAATAAATGCATTACACAAACCTGAAATAAGTCCAAAGTCAGCTAGAAATGATATTGGTTAGCTATCAATCTTTTTTCCCTGTTATTCTACTGTGTCTAACGGTGTCATGAGTAACGGATTGAGCTCTGCGTAGATTTAACAGAAGAGTATCAATATGGAATAAAAATGCTGTTTGAAGCACTACTTTTTTCTTTTTTTAATCGTTTTATTAGGGGCTCATACAACACTTATCACAATCCATACATACATCAATTGGAAGCACTACTTTTTACTATGCTTTCTAACAAGGCTACCAATACACAGAATACAGGGTTAGTTATAAAGCACTGCTACTCAGTTCTAGTCAATACATGCACAGGTTTACTTAATTCAATACATTGCTTAATTAAATGTCTCTGCAAACAGTGGACCGTTGGAGACAAATTTTCTCAATAATACATTCATCTTAATTTTATTAGGTTGCCTTTTAAAAAGGCAGGATTAAATACTGTTGTGCCACAAAAAAATTAACTTCAAAGTCAGGATAAATAACACATTTTTAACAAAACCCAAGTGGACATCTTCCCAATCATTAAAATCTTGAAATAAGTTTACAGAAATGCTGCCCGCCCCACATAAATTAGTTTTCAGATGAACTGTTTTTAAAGGTCGGAAGGAAGAGGAAAAAAGAAAGTCAGCAAACCTCAAAGATGAGCCCAACGCAGGACAAGGCCATCAAGCTCGACCAATGAAGCAGCTGTGGCTGAAATCCAGAAACTGGCAGAAGGCAGCCACTGATGCAATAAAAGATCTCACTGGCTGGCACTTTAAATTTTAACCAAACATCTTGGCCTCAGTGAGCTTTTGCCTCAATGCATGTCAAACACATCACACAACAAACAAGCTGATCTTTCTATCAATTTTTAAAAGCAAGATTGACGCACTGATTGATTTGTGCAACCATAATGGAAATTTAGCAATACAATCCAGGCAACAAGTATTAGCTTCTAAGAGGCCAGTTAGAAGCCAAGGCAGCGCTGAGCACATGGGAGCAAATGAAGGGAGAGGAAGAGAGAGTGGAGCACATCCTTGCCTTGAGGACGATATTCACCCTCAGAGCAGCCAACCCACAGAGAGGACCATATGGTTGGCCCCATTGAGACACGACATCCCTCACTGACCCATAGCCCTACAGGGGACAACACTGGAGACACAGTGTGGGAATTCTGCCCAATCTGATCCCACCACACTGAGGCAAAACACTACGGGCGTGGAACACAACAGCAAGGGAAACAAGTGCAACGAAGTCCCAGGGAATACCAAAAATAAACTTTGGGACCAGGGCTTGGCACCCCATCAGACTCGACCAGAAAACACTCCTACAGGCCAACAAACACTCCTTGAACTAACTACAAGCTTTTCTTTTTCTTGTGCTTTGTTTTGTTTTTTGTCACTGGCTTATTGGTGGCGGCGGCAGTGTTTTCTTTTCTTTTGTTGCTTGGTTTTGCTCTGTCTTGTTTTTGTGTGTTATTATCCTCAGGTCTGTCTAAATAACATAGGCTGGATGAACAATCTGGAGGAGGAGAAAACCCGGGACCAACAGTTCCGGGGGGACATAGGAGAAGGGGAGGTGGGGGGAAAAGGAAGTGGTGTTAAAAAAAATCAGGGACACTCCCTCTCCCTCTCCTCTCCCTCTCTCACTTCTCCTCTCCCCTTCTCTCCTCCCCCACTCCTCTCCTCTCCTCTCCCTCTAAAAAAAAAAATCAGGGACAAGCGAACAAGTGATCCAAATCAGTGATGAGGAGGGTGTCAAGAAGCCTGGTACAGTGTGACCAAGGGTAATGTAACCGAAAAGAATTACTGTAACCCAAATGAAGGCTGAGCATGATACTGGGACAAGAGGAAAGCAAAAGGAAATAGAGGAAAGAGCTAGGAGGCAAAGGGGATATATACAGGTCTAAATAAAGGCATGTACATATGTAAATATATTTATACACGAGGATGTAGAAATAGATCTATGTGCATATATGTATAGGTTTAGCATTAAGGTAGCAGATGGACATTGGGCCTTCACTCAAGTACTCCCTCAATGCAAGAATACTTCGTTCTATTAAACTAGTATTCCATGATGCTAACTTTCCCGATATGATCGCTGAAGAAAAATCAGGTATCAGGCATCAAAGAACAAAAAAAAAATCATATCATTGTGAATGAGGGGGAGTGCATCCAGAAGGGTCGGTCACAGGGAAGAGACAAGCTAGTCAGGGTACAGTGTAGCAACAATGAAACATACAAGTTTCCTCTAGTTCCTAAATG